AAAAAAAAAAAAAAGAGTTTCATGGACTTTCCTGCCCGGGCTGACTTTGAACTGTGATCCTCAGATCTCAGCCTCCTGAGTAGCTAGGATTACAGGCGTGAGCCAATGGTGCCCGGTTTCAAAGTTTCTTTTAGAAAGAAAGCATAGAAAAATATAGCTTACCTCCTCTGTGGTTAGATCCTGGACTTTAGGATCTTAACACAAGGCAGTAGGAATTAGGAGTTCTAAGGGTTAAGTAAACATGGAAGCTCTTGGAAATAATGCTTCCTACTTACATTTAATCATGGGCACTATCAGGAAAAAATGTTTCTCCTTATCACTTCTGCATCTTTTCCTGGGTAATTAGCTTTAAAACAAAAAAGATGTAAGGTGATCTTTCAAAAAGGTGTTCAAGTGTTACTCTGCCACATGATAGGCCTATGAGCACACTTTTGCTAATTTGCACCTCTGTATCAGCCACAAAGTCCATTGCTTCTTAACCACATCCTATTAGATATTATATCTGTATCAATCTGAAGTCTGGAATTTCTTCAGGAAGGAGTTTGCTTGTGGCAGTCTGTCCTCTATTTGGAAATTGTAATCAAATTCTTTTTAACACACCAAGTAGCAATATATCAGTTTTCCTCTTAAGGGACAAGCAAAGGTTATAAATAGTGAAAAGTTCAGTAAACTGCCCAAATCTAACACCATCACCAACTAAGTATAATGCTCACAAACTCATTTATAAGAATATTACCTCACAGCAGGAAATTAAGACAATGCTAGGTTAATTTATACTTCAGTGGCCTACAATGTCACTAAAACACAGCCACTTCTGGGCTGGAAGTCAGCTTCTAATTGCTTGCTAATAACTGGGTAAGGACAATTGTAGTGAAGGGCAGGCAAATACCAAAACCTGCTGTGTGCTGCTACATGGGCAGGCTGTTATCAGAAGCAAGTGCTCCAAAAAGCTAATTTACAAGGTTTACAGGTTATTTGGATTTACTATTCTAGATTTAGGAGGCTGAAACATCAAGTTCAACCTGTTAAGATTATAAACAGCATCCAATCCTGACTTGTAAATGCTTTGCTCTTTACTCAAGAGGCAACCCTACTCTTCTGGTTCCCTAGTCTATTAAGCTTTTGTAGAAATATGGTTTGGTGCATGCAGGTCTGATTAGTTGTATGAGGGCAACACCTACAAACACAGTAGAAAAGCTTCCAAATCTAACATACTTATTCACATTTAGGACTATTACAAGGGATACTATTTTTGTATGAACCTTAAACACTTGCTTATTTTAATATTCATGGTGGTGGAAGTATGTGGAGTGGGAAGATGGGAAGTGGTGTGGTGTAGAGTGGAATGAATGCCCTGCAGAAACAGAAGGATGACTGTACTTAAATTTTCAGTTTTTTTTTGCCAGTCCTAGGGCACTGTCCCTGAGCTGCTTTTGCTCAAGGCTAGCACTCTACTACCTAAGCCACTTCCAACCTTTTCTGTTTATGTGGTACTGAGGAATTGAACCCAGTGCTTCATGCATGCTAGGCAAGTCCTCTACCACTAAGCCACCTTCCTAGCCCCCAGTTTAATATTTTTTTGGTATTAAGTAATATTTAATGTTAACTACATACATATGCTACCACCCGGACAGAGGCGGACAGTCCTAGATGCCTGTGTTTTCCTGTCTCAACTGATTTTCCCCCCGGCTTGCTGGGCATAGGGTTGGTAAAAAGTGCTTGCCTAGCATGTGTGAGGTACCTGGGTTCAACCTGTAACACCCTTTCAAAAACAAGACCCAAAAAGTCAAGTCAGTGTTTAACCTAAAACTCTGCCAAAAAAGCTAACTCCAAATTATGCTGTACATTTTTCAGAGACATTTCTAGATTAGTTTTTTTTGTTTTGTTTTGTATTTTTGCCGGTTGTGGGGCCTGAACTCTGGGCCTGGGCACTGTCCCTCAGCTCTTCAGCTCAAGGCTAGCACTCTACCACTTGAGCCACAGTGCCACTTTCGGCTTCTTCTGCTTATGTGGTGCTGAAGAATCGAACCCAGGGCCTCATGCATAAGAGGCAAGCACTCTACCACTGAGCCACCTTCCCAGCCCTCTAGACTAGAAGATTTAAAAGAAAAAGATCAATATAAAAATGATTTATATAAAATATAAAAATGCTTGCTTTAAGTAAATTTTGAATTCTTAGTAGTTTCCCAACATTTTTCAGAATATGGGGAAAATACTATCTAAATGCTGGTCAAAAATGGAGATTCTTATGTTTGGCCAACCTGGTATCCCTACGGCGGGCCCAGAAATGTAGATGTTAATAGGCTGCCCAGGTGATTATTATTACACTTCCTAAGAAGAATGATTAGTACTAAGCCAGTAGTATAATTCTAGTACTCAGGAGACTGACGCAGAAAGATTATGAATTCAAAGCCAGCCATGGGTTAATAGTGAGAATCCCACCCCCTCATCTTAAAAAAAAACAAAACCAAAAAAACTCGCAAAGTGCCATAAATATGACACATTCCTGTCACTGATGCTGTTCCATGATTACTGCCTGTACCTTCATTTTGACCAGCCAGTCTATAAATGTGCAAATGTGTGCTGAGTAATGACGGTGCATGACTAAATGCAAATCTGTCTCTAGTATTAGTAAAACCACACAACATTATCCTGTAGTTCCACAGGATGGTCACTGTCACATAGTAGTGCATTAGTTTTTATTTCCTCTTAATCCAAGTAGTGTTAATCTATCTGTAGATTACTCACCAAACCAGCTAACCATAGGGAGGTAGACAGAGCTATAATAAAGCAAACTGAGCTGGAGATCAAGAGAATTCTTGGCTCCAGGATTGATTCTGTCTTTTAACATGATCACTTAACCTTTGTGGAGGTAAAGAACTCTGAATGATTCAGTCTTTTTCAACTTCAAAATTTTGATTCTAGAGCAAGATTGGTTTTTTCCAAAGTTTTACTTTGAGACAGGGACATGAGATGTAATGTGGAACTGAAATCAGGGCAAATCCATTTCTAATACACTTAGTCGCTTCTTTGCAATTAATATTCATTGCAGGTCTGAATCAAATTATTCAGCAAAAAAGCAGCATGAGATCACCTTCTAACATCTCTCCAGCTCCTTTGGGGTAGGTGAAAAGGGCTTTCCGTGGCGGGGCAAGGTCTGAGACACTGAAACCAGATCCAGTGACAGAATTTCCACTGACCCCACCAGCTGAGGAGGAGGATGAAGAGGCAGCCATTTCCTCTAGTAGAATTCTCACTTCACTACAGAGAAAGAAAAACAGCAATTGGCAAGTTTGTGGAACTGAGATTGACAACATTACATTCTAGTTGCCAACTGGACCAGTACACAGTCTTGAAAAGAACTAGCTTCCCCCTTTCTAATTTTCCCTACTCAACAATCTTTTCTTGATGCCTCAGGCCAAAATATCACTCAGGTTTTGAAGTACAGACATGTTCAAGAATAGTCTGTCTATTTAGAACAATACTTCTTACCATTAGCAAACTTCATGTTATCTGGGATTGACTGTGGGTGATTTATGAGTTATAGAGGAGTGACATGGCAATACCAAGGCAGAAATGTGACTGAGGAAATAAATTATGAAGATAAAACAATCATATGCCATAGGACAGTTTGTCTTGGATACATTCTGACTAGACCACACCAAGAAATTCACTTATAAAATTTTCCAACTAAGATTCCAGAATAACACAGTGTTCTGTTCCCAAGGAAGGGAAACCAGTTAGGAAATACATATTGGCACTTTCATCAAAATTTTAACCTTTTCATCTAAATGCAATACCTCAAAATTTCACTTGGTGGCATCCCAGGATGTAACAAAATAGGACATAGTATTGGAAATCATGGTCTTTTAAAATACAGTAGCTATATACTTAGTCCTTTGTCATATCAAAAAATCCAAATGAAGCTGGACACCAGTGGCTCACACATGTAATCCTAACTACTCAGGAGGCTGAGATCTGAACATCACGGTTCAAAGCCAGCCTGGGCAGGAAAGTCTGTGAGACTCCAATAAATCACTCAAAACTGAAGTGGTGCTGTGGCTCCAGTGGTAGAGCACTAGCCTTAAGCTGAAGAGCTGAGGGACAGTGTCCAGGCCCAGAGTTCAAGTCCCATGACTGACAAAAAAAAAAAATCCAAATGAAATTTGGATTGAGGAAATATGTATTTAATTTAATGATTTCATGTGACTTATTATAAATGTTCAAAATGAAAGCACTCTCATAAAAGCTCATGTCATTTTAACTAGAATCTAAAGGGTATACTTTAAAAAAGAAGTCTCCACCATGCTTTCTAATAGTTTTTTTTTGTCTGTTGTGGGGCTTGAACTCTGGGCTTGGGCGCTATCCCTCAGCATTTCAGCTCAAGGCAAGTGCTCTACTGCTTGAGCCACAGCGCCACTTCTGGTTTTCTAGTGGTTTGTTGGAAATAAGAGTCTCACAGACTTTCCTGCCCAGGCTGGCTTTGAACTGTGATGATCCTCAGATCTCAGCCTCCTGAGTAGCTAGGATTACAGGTGTGAGCCACCAGCATCTGGCTAGAATTTTTTTTACCATGATGGAAATGTTCTAATGTTCTGTTTCTGTACTAATATATGGCAGTCACTCAACTCATCTTGTGGCTATAATTGAAGAGCTGTATCTTCAATTTTACTTAATTAAAATTTCAATATAGTCACATGTGGTTGGCTGGTGTTTATTACACTAGTGCAGTTCTGGTATTTCAATTAAAAAACTATTCTAGCTGGGTGTGGTGATATGATGATGTGTATCTGGGGACTGCAGTACCAGTTACTCAGAGGCTGTGGCAGGGGAATGGCCAATATGAAAAAAAAAAAGACTAAGGGCTAACTGGCTAATTTGTTTAATTTCTTTCAGCTCAATGAAGAAAAAGAGAAACCTTAAGGATCTTAAGAATAAATTTTTCTCTATAATAGTCAGGATTTTAGTTGATTATTTTTCTTTTGCTTTTTTTTTTTTTTTTTTGGGTCCGGTCGTGGGGCCTGAATTCTGGGCCTGGGCGCTGTCCCTCAGCTCTTCAGCTCAAGGCTAGCGCTCTACCACTTGAGGCACAGCGCCACTTCCAGCCTTTTTTCTTTTTGCTTATGTGGTGCTGAGGAATCAAACCCAGGGCCTCATGCATGCAAGGCAAGCACTCTACCACTGAGACTCCTTCCCAGCCCTAGTTGACTATTTTTCATTAACTCTTTTTTGCCCATTATTCAGTTGAGGACTGGGGTATGGTTTATGCCTGAGATCCTGGGTTGATTCTCAAAGCACTTTCAAAATATTGAAACTTAAAAAGTTTTTTTAAAATAGAAAAATATGGGGCTGGGAAGGTGGCTCAGTGGTACAGCACTTGCCTTGCATGCATGAGGCCCTGGGTTCGATTCCTCAGCACCACATAAGCAAAAAAGAAAAAGCCAGAAGTGGCACTGTGGCTCAAGTGGTAGAGTGCTAGCCTTGAGCTGAAGAGCTGAGGGACAGCACCCAGGCCCAGAGTTCAGGCCCCTCAACCGGACCCCCCCCCAAAAAAAGGAAAAAGACAAATATGAGGGAAGCTATGTAGATATAAATCCACATACACACAGAACATCTAGTTTCCTAGTAAGGAAAATGATATACTATGTCTGAGGCTTGTTTCCTTAATTTTATAATAATCATTTAAGGCAGTCAGAAAAGCAGAGCTTGGCTTCTAGTTTCAAGATGTCTTTAAGTAATATGGATTAATACTCAAGTGAGATATAGAAACAGTAAGTCTATGGCTAAATTTAGCCTGCCAGCTTATTAAAATGCAGACTGATAAAGGACATTTATAATCTTGCTATTTTTTTTTCTTAGAAGTTTCCAAATTGTGTTCATATCCATAGAGCTAACATCTTTCCAGGTTAGATTCATAACCAATCCTTTGGACCACACTGGGTCAAATACAGCTAAAGTTTTAAAATAAAAAAACATTAACAGACCAGGTCCAAATCTCTAGCTAGATTTCTGGTAGATTCAGGCAACTTGGCCACTTTCTGGAGACTAGCTTAGTCTGTATTTCCTACCAGTTTAGAGTGGAACCCACTGTGAAATGTTATATATTTCACCTAGGATTTAATCTTTTCCTCTACTCTGGTAAGTGCTCAATTCAGTTGCAAATACTTTATACTTTAAGTTTTTGAGACCAGCTGCTCAGCAGAGAATCCAAGCAACTGCCAGAGACGGAAAAGCTTGAAAGGCTTGCCACAGTGTGACTTCGAAACAGAATACAAAGTAACTCCTTTCATCCTATTTTCTTTCAAACTCTCAGAACTACTATCATCCATATACAAGACAGGGTTGAAAAAAAGCAGCACAGAATTAGTATAGGGTTAACTTTAAGCAGTTTTCTGCTGAAATGGAAAGATACATGTAATTTCCAGCTCTAAAGATTTAAGTTGATGTGCTTGCCTACCAAGGTCAAGACCCTGAATTCAAACCTCATATCATCACCATTAAACAAAACAAAACAAAATCTCTTTTTTGGTGCTGGGGAATGAACCCAAGGCCTTGTGAAGGCTTAAGCTAACCTCAGAACCTATGTTGCTTTCAATGCTATCAGCAAGTGGGAGTTAACCTAAGAATAAACCCTAGATTTTAACTATTCTTTTAGATTACTGGTGAAACTAATAGGCCATAACTAACTAATCACTGGACCAACCATGAAGCTTGACTTTAGTAGCTTATTTAAATACCTGTTTGCAGAATGAGTTTAATGTTTCCCAGGAACCCCAGATTCCTTAAAGGTCATCAAACTGAAGTCCCCGATTTGTAGATAACAGAATTGGAGGCACTGAGATAAATTCCACTTACTTGCTGTGATATTGCTGAAGGAATGACGTGCCATTGTGCCAATATATCATTTGCCAGGCATTGTGTTTAAGAACTAACTTTGAAAGCCAGGCGCTGGTGGCTCACACCTGTAATCCTAGCTACTCAGGAGCCTGAGATCTGAGGATGGTGGTTCAAAGCCAGCTCAGACAGGAAAGTCCATGAGACATTTATCTCCAATTAACCACCAGAAAACTGGAAGTGGTGCTGTGGCTTAAGTGGTAGACCACCTGCCTTAAGCTGAAGAGCTGAGGGACAGGCCAAGTTCAAGCCCCACAACCAACAACAAAAAACAAACAAAAAACTAGGTTTTTGTTTAGTTTTGGTACTTAGTTGCTGCATGACAGGATAAATCACTTCACCTGTCTTCTTTAGTTATCTCACATGTAAAATGGAATCTGTAATAGCATTTATCTTACAGATATGATTAATATATGTAAAGCATGGAACAGTTTTAGGTTTAGCAAACATGTAAATAAGTATAGTTATGGAAATTTCTGAATCTTTTGAGACAGGATTTCACTATGTAGCTAATGCTAGTACTGAACTTAAATTATCCTGTCCCTACCACTTAGTGCTGGGATTACAGGTGTGCTTCACCCTACCTGACTACTCTCGATGCAGATACTTTTTTTTTTGGGTCCGGTCGTGGGGTCTGAACTCTGGGCCTGGGCGCTGTCCCTCAGCTCTTCAGCTCAAGGCTAGGGCTCTACCACTTGAGCCATAGTGCCACTTCCGGCTTTTTTCTTTTGTGGTGCTGAGGAATCGAACCCAGGGCCTCAGGCATGCAAGACAAGTGCTGTACCACTGAGCCACCTTCCCAGCCCTTGATGCAGATACATTTGCAGATTCTAGGTTTTCATATTTATTATTTCCCAACCTATATACTTAGAGGAAAAGTTTAATTTTCTCTGATAGACACAGCAAACTCTTGGAAGGGAAAGGATCTGCTTAAGAAGATGAGTTATTATCTTCTCCTACAAACTTCACACACTTTACTAAGCTATACCATCAGCCCCAACACTCTCATTTTAAGGTTCATGATCTTAATAAGAATCCTCTGACTGGGGCTGGGAAGGTGGCTCAGTGGTAGAGCGCTTGCCTTGCATGCATGGGCCCTGGGCTCGATTCCTCAGCACCACATAAGCAAAAAGAAAGAAGCTGGAAGTGGCGCTGTGGCTCAAGTGGTAGAGCACTAGCCTTGAGCTCAAGAGCTGAGGGACAGTGCCCAGGCCCAGAGTTCAGGCCCCACGACCAGACTCTCCCCCCTCACCCCCCAAAAAAAAGAATACTCTGACTTTCCAAAGGGGGAAAGAACTGTCTATCCTTCAGGTCTACTACAACCCTCTGTATCACAGCTTTCCTAGATAAATCAATGATTTAAAAATAACAAAACAAGGGGCTAACAGTTCAGTAAAGATTATGTAGGGGACAGAGATGTTTGGCATCATGAAGTATGGCCCGTTACATTTTCTTTTTCCCCCTCACTTTGCACAATTCTACGTACTACCAGACTCAGTAAAATCTGTCAAATATTGGAAAGGACATTATCCTGGGATTTCATCTTACTGAAGAAACTGGGTCTGTCTGCTGTAGAACTCCTTACTGGGAGCCTGCTGGAGGTGGCTCAGGAGACAGATCCAGAGGACCATTGTTAAAAGCCAGCCTGGGCAGAAAAGTCTATAAGCCTCCACTTCCAAAATAACCAGTAAGCCAGGTGCTGGTGGCTCACGCCTAGCTAGCTATTCAGGAGGCAGAGATCTGAGGATCATGGTTCAAAGCCAGCCCGGGCAAGAAAGTCCGTGAAATGCTTATCTCCAATAAGCCACCAGAAAACCGGAAGTGGTGGTGTAGCTCAAGTGGTAGAGTGCTCACCTTGAGCTGAAGAGCTGAGGGACAGTGCCTAGGCCCAGAGTTCAAGCTCCATGACCAACAAAAACAAACAAAATAGCCAGTAAAAAGCTAGGCTGGAATAGTGGCTGAGGTGGCAAAGGGCCAGCTGGGTCTGTTTAAGGCCCCGAGTTCAAACACTTGTACTGGCAAAAATAAATTCTCACAGGAAACACAGTATGGCTTGACTTTTACTTTGTATAGAACAGGGATGATGTCATGTAAATTAGTCTATAGTTTCTTATTTCTGGAAGATATATGACTATTTTCTTTTTATTTTTTTCCCCTTGGTGTTGTTCCTGTTTTCATAAAAAGGGTCTCATCAAAAAGTATTTGCTGGCTACACTAAGCCAAAGGAAAGAAATGTAAACACCACCCAATGTGGAAGAAATAATTTGTATTGTCAAAGCTCATAGAATTCACAAACTTTATAGACCATGATAATGACAATTTGCCTTGTGAAGGTTAAAATTTGTTTGTGATTTTAAGTATCACTATTCCACAATACTGTGAAATATGTGAAATTCATGTAATCACCTAATCTCAACTTTTAAAAAAATCGAGAGAAGGGATGGGTTAGAAACGATGGTTGTCAGACACCTTGTATACTGTTTTGTAGGAACTTCTTTGTATAACTACTTAAAGATAGTAATAATAAAAAATATTTTTTTTTTTTAAAGTCGTTGCTGGGCTGGGAAAGTGGCTCAGTAGTAGAATGCTTGCCTCGCATGCATGAGGCCCTGGGTTCAATTCCTCAGCACCACATAAGCAGAAAAAGCTGGAAGTGGCGCTGTGGCTCAAGTAGTAGAGCACTAGTCTTGAGCTGAAGAACTGAGGGACAGCGCCCAGGCCTAGAGTTCAGGCTCCACGACCGGCAAAAAGAAAAAGTACTTGCTAGTTGGGTGCCGGGGGCTCATGCCTGTAATCCTGTCTACTCAGGAGGCTGAGATTTGAAGATCCAGGTCCGAAGCCAGCCTGGGCAGGAAAACTCAGGAAACATTATCTCCAATTAACCAGCAGAGTCGGAAATGGAGCTAGCTTAAAAAAAAAAAAAAAAAAAAAAGCTCAGGAACAGCACCCAGGCCTTGAGTTCAAACCCCAGAGTCGACAAACACACAACCCTAAAGACCAGAGACTCTAACGTTAGTTCCTATCCCAGTACAGAGACATTATTTATTACAAACGTTGAATTCCACCAACAAGCCATGTTCCACATAGATAGCTGGGGAACTATTAGTTCTGAAGGAGTTCTGCTTATTAGTTGGGAACACCTGCGATGGCCAAACAAGCCCCCAAGCCATGCTTCCCACCCAGCGTAATACTAAAGAACGGTCGTCCGACGGCCGCTCCACCGCGCAGGCGCCAACCTTCGGTCCGCATGCGCATTCCAAGCCGCGCGCTCAGGAAATTTCCTTTCACACGTACGCCACGGCTGTCTCCGGTGTCTCAGCTCCACTTTTCCCAGGCCCTGAAGGTAGGACCTAGGGGGTAAACTCCCTTGTCACCAAGCTCCCAAGGGCTTTAGAATCCCTTTGCCACTTACCTCAGCGGCTTTACTCCAATTCTTACAGCCCCGCCCCCAGAACCAGCGTGAGCGGTGGCGGTCGCCACGACAAGGAAAGCGACGCGCGCGTCCCCGAGACGTGGTGGGCGGGGCCGGGAGGAGAGGCGCAGGGCGGGAGCCAGCTTCCGGAGGGTGCTTCCGGTCTGCGGCCTAGCTTTGGTTTCCACATTCCCCCGGTAGGAAGGAAGGGTACCTTTTTTTTTTTCCTTCTTCTTTTCCAAGCCTGTATGAACCAAGTTTAAATTATTCCCTTCCTCACTTCTAAGCAGTCTCACAGCCTGGGGCTGACGATAAGGGAAGGTTCCGAGTTGTCTGATTATAGTGTCTCACAGCTCCAGGGTCAAGGGCCCCGACTTAATGTTAAAGTCTACTTTTCCAGAACCCCTCCTCCTCCCCCCCCCCCAGTAGATGTTAAAAAAATAGGGATCCAGAGTGTGAGGTCATTAGACTACTGTTAGTTATAGCTCCACTTCCTCTTAAGACTTTTCTCTTTTATTTTTTACCTGTCATGGGGCCTGAACTCTGGGCCTGGGCACTGTCCCTCTGCTGTTCAGCTCAAGGCTAGCGCTCTACTACTTGAGCCACAGCGCCACTTCCAGCTTTTTCTGCATATGTTGTGCTGAGGAATCGAACCCAGGGCCTCATGCATGCAAGGCAAGCACTCTACCACTGAGCCACCTTCCCAGCCCTTTCTTTCTTTTTTTTTAATGTTGGTACTTTGGTTTGAACTCTGGGCTTGCACATTGTCCTTTAGCTTTTTTCTTTTGCCGGCCATGGGGCTTGAATTCTGGGCCTGGGTGCTGTCCCTTAGCTGTTCAGCTCAAGGCTAGCATTCTGCATTCTACCACTTGAGCCTCGGTGCCACTTTGAGCGTTTTCTGCCTATGTGGTACTGAGGAATCAAACCTATGCAAGCACTAGATCTACCACTGAGCCATATTCCCAGCCCTCCTTTAGCTTTTTTTGCACAAGACTGGCACTCCTCCCTTCTGGCTTTTTGTTGGTTAATTGTAGAGAAAGACTTTTCTGGACTTTTGTGCCCAGGCAGGCTCTGAACCACAATCTTCTCAGATCTCAGCCTCCTGAGTAGGTAGGATTACAGATGTAAATCATTCCCTCCCACCCTGTGCCCAGGAAGGCAAATTTATTTTTTATTTATTTTTTGCTGGTCCTGGCACTTGAACTCTGGGCCTGGACATTGTCCCCAGGTTCCTGGGTTCCTTTTGTTCAAGGCTAGCACTCTACTACATGAACCACAGCCACTTCGGCTTTTTGTATGATTAGTTGGAGCTGAGAGTCTCTGACTTTCCTGCCTGGGCTGGCTTTGAACTGCAATCCTCAGACATCAGCCTTCTGAGTGGCTAGGATTACAGGTGTGAGCTGCACCTCCCTTCTCCCCTTCCCCCGACTTAATTTTTGTGTTATTTCTCAAAACACAAAACCTCTTGCTTCTTTGAGCAAACTACCATTAAAAAACTTCTTTTTTAAAACTGAACTTACTTCTTTTAGTAAAGATTGAGGTGTTTTCTTTCTTGGTAACTGTTGAAATATTTTGGGTTTCATGACTGTCCGTGGTCTGTTTCACAAGGAACCTGAACATGGGTTGAACTTAACCCTAGCTGTTTCACAAGGAATCTTTATTTCCTAAATTATTCAGTGATTAAATGGTGACTGGGAGCTTGGCTTGGTGTTCCTTAGGCAGGAACTTTTAGAAATTGGGCTCATTCATGTAATTTGAGGGTATGGATGGGCTTGGGATGGGGCAGAATGATGCCAGGGGTTGTTGATCAATATACATTGTACTTACAAACTTTTTTACAAACTTTTGTTGAATTTAAAACCCCTTTGTACAACTACTTACAGATAATTCAAAACATCAATAACCAGAAATGAGTTTCTCTCCTGAGCAAGGTGTGGATCTGAAAACTTGGTTAAATCATATATTATCTGTGTTTTGACAGGCAAGTGAATCTGATGTTTAGGTAGTATTTCTAGCAGCTTTAGTATCTCTTGCCTTCTTGTGGGAGTTATTAAATGTCCCTCATTGTATTATCATACTGGATGGAAAGGGTGAGATACTTGCAAATAGCTGAACATCAAATGTGCACTCCTTTTAGGTTAAAGTAATAAAAAATGGAGGATGATAAAGTAATAAAATGGGGGACAGTAATAAATAGTTCACAATAATAGCAATTCACAAATTATTTTGCTATCTAAAGTGAACCAGGAATATAATAGATAGAGGAAACTGGAGCAACTGGTTTACTTCAGCTTGCAAACTGGAAAGTTCAAAGGAAAGTACGACTGTTGCTTAGGATGTGCTGTGAACTGATGTCCAGCCCTTTCCAATCCTACAAAATGATTCCTATAACTGAAATAGGAGTTTTCATTTAAAATGGCAAGATGCTGCTTTATTTTTCAGGATTTCACTAGAATATTATTTGGAGAAAGTGTCATGGAAGTTCTGCGCCCACAGATTATAACAATTGATGGGCGGAATTACAGAAAGAATCCTATCCAAGAAAAGACTTACCAACATGAAGAAGATGATGATTTTTATCAAGGTAACCTAGTTGTTTTTAGGTCAGATTAGAAATAAAAATGTTCTCTGGAGGTATCACTTGAGTGGTAGAGCTCCTAGCACTGCCACTTGAGTAGCTGGGATTTCAGATATACATTACCATGCCTAGCCTGAATTTTTCTTTTTCCTTGGAGGGGCTGGTACCCAAACTTGAACTTGGGACCTCATGGTTCCTTGCTCATGGCTTGAATTCCACCACTTGGGCTATGCCTCCAGTCTGGCTTTTTTTTTTGTTAATTGGAGGTGGAGTTTCACAGATTTTTTCCTTTCTTTCCCTTTACATTCCCCTTCTTTTTTCTGTCAGTTGTTGGGCTTGAATTCAGGGTCTGGGCACTGTCCCAGAACTCTGCTCAAAGCTAGTGCTCTACCACTTTGAGCCACAGTGCCAATCCAGTTTTCTGGTAGTTAATTGGAGATAAGAGTCTCACAGGGACTTTTTAGCCTGGACTGGCTTCGAACCATGATCCTCAGATCTCAGCCTTCTGAGTAGCTAGGATTATAGGCATAAGCCATCTTGGAACCTGGTTTCACAGACTTTTCTGTCTAGCTGAGTTTGAACTGTGATCTTCCAGGCGTCAGCCTCCTGAGTAGCTAGGGTTACAAGGATGAATCACCAGGGCTTAGCTAATTCAAAACAAAACAAAACTGTGTGTGGTGCTAAGAGTAAACAGTCTAATACTGGTACGTATATGCTGCTTTCCAAGGGTCAAGACTGAAAGATTTAAAGTAGTAAATATTTTTTTTTTTTGCGCTAAATATTCTCTTAGCTTTTTTTTTTGGTCAAGGCTGGTGCTCTACCATTTGGGCCTCACTTCTACTTCCAGTAGTAACTATTTATTTTTGATATTTCTTTTAAGAAAAGAGGAATCTTAGTGCAGTGATCTGTAAAGTGTTGGGCTGTTTTTTTTTTTTTTCCTGTATGCTTTACTTTTGTTAAAGCCTTGATAGATAGTGACAGCTGGTAGCAGGCTGTTTTCCAGGGAGCAGGAGCATTTCTGAGATGTTACTGTTTTTGTGCAGACTCCCTGCAGTATTCTGATGAGCCCTGTGACGCGTACGAGGTGGAGCAGACCCCTCAAGGATTCCGGTCTACTGTGAGTGCCCCCAGCTTGCTCTACAAGTGAGTGAGGTTCTGGCAGCTTCACAAGACTGCATTTCCAGAAAACTCAGCAGGAAGCTGACTCCACACTGACTGTGATGCTTAATTACTAATAGTTTACTGTTCTATGTCCTAAATGTCAAAGGACTGATTATACACTATGTTCATCATTTCATGTATATTGCTACATCCTGTTGATTTTTGCCTCTTAAATATCCTTTGACTCTACCCACTTATCTCTGTCAAACTGGCACTGCTACCCTTTTCTATGGATTTCTTTTCTTTCTTTCTTTGTTTCTTTTTTTTTTTTTTTTTGGGTCGTTGGGCTTGAACTCTGGGCCTGGGCATTGTCCCTCAGCTCTTCAGCTCAACGCTAGCTCTCTACCACTTGAGCCACTGCACCACTTCTGGTTTTCTGGTGGTTTATTGGAGATAAGAGTGTCATGGACTTTCCTGCCCGGGCTGGCTTTGAACTGTGATCCTCAGATCTCAGCCTCCTGAGTAGCTAGGATTATAGGTGTGAGCCACTGACGCCAGGCCTGTGGATTTTTTAAAGTAGCTCACTTACTAGTCTCTCCACATTGATCTTGTTTTCTTCCCACTCAGTTCTTTGCATTAAGGGTAGAATTTTTTTATTTTTATTTTTTTGCCAGTCCTGGGGCTTGAACTCTGGGCTGAGACACTGTCCCTGGGCTCCTTTTGCTCAAGGCTAGCACTGTACTGCTTTAGCCACAGCGCCACTTCTGGCTTTTATGTGATTAATTGGAGATAAGAGTCTCCTGGAGTTTCCTGTCAGGCTGGCTTTGAGCTATAATCCTCAGATCTCAGCCTCTTGAGTAGTTAGGATTACAGGTGTGAGCCACCAGTGCCCGGCTAGTTGTTTTTTAAATAGGTCTCAAGCTCTACTGGGGCTGGCTTCAGACTGCAGTCCTACCTGTGTAGCTGAGATTGCAGGCTTGAACCACTTTGCCTGGTGAATTCTATGTATTCTTTTTATTGTTTTGTTTTTTGTTTCTTGGCATTACTAGGGATTGAATTTAGGGCCCTGTTGAATTGGACCACTTCTGGTCCAATTCTGAAGGGCATATATACTAAACACTCATTATACACCAGAGGACTTGCATGTTAGACACTGGCTTTGCTAAATACTAATTAGTTGATAATATTTATCTGAAAGATGCCTTGCTCCCTTCCTTGGCCTAGAGTGATTAAAAGATTTGTGCATGGTTTGTTCAACTCTAAAGGATCTTTGATTTTAACCATTTCCTTTTCTAACGTATTGAAGCCTAGACAAATAATAACACTTTGAATCAACTACTGTTTCTGTAATCCTAACACTTGGAAGGCTGGTTCACTAGCCACATGCCACCACACAGATGCTTGACTGAAAGTAC